ATTCCTGCCCAAAAATAGCCCTGCATAAGAATCAGGTAAAAGAACTGGAACAACAGGTTGACTGCGGATTTGAAGCCTGTATATTCAAAATTGCTTAACACAGGTTAATATTCCCTTGATGCTATTTAACCTATTTTTGAACCCAGGCAGCATGTTAGAAAGGGCAAAAAAAACCCCAAACGCTATTTTTTTCAGTACATGTTTAAAGTTGGATTTGAGAATCCTGCAGTCCTCAGGAACAATGTCCTCAGAGTAAGCTGCATCAAGTACAATGGGATTTACTTCTGAGTAGCCCTGTTTAGAATTACTTCATTATAACCCACAGGACTGCTTCTGAACGTACAGGGCCAGGGGTGATTATCGCAGACCGACCGACTCAGGCAGGTCTCTGTTCTCGACAGACAGTGCACGCAACGACTTCCCACCTCCAAAAGGGATTTGTTCAGGTCATCTTCCCAATGGCCTGGCAGACAGAGAACATGAAGGATTAGGGTTTAGCCCACAGTATTTTTTTATCTACTGTTTTTTTATTTATTTATTAGTTTAACATGTATTTATTTATGGCACTTTAATCCTTCTTTCTCCACAGGGACTACAGGCGGCACGCAGTGTTATTTAAAACAATTAAAATTGATGAATACATTCAAAACTGCCAGTTAGAAGTCATACCATACACCTTTCTTAACCACTCAGATAACTCATTTGGAAAGGTTCTTCTAACAATTTCACTGCACAGTGGTACAGAATGCCATTTGTGTGTCTTACTCGTTGTAGGCTATTTCCCGTAAACTACTTCAAGCATATAATATACAGAGAAGAAACCAAGAAACGGCCTTAAATGAATGTTTTAAGGGCTGCTCCCTTGTGGGTAATTCTTTGCTGTTTTCTCTCCACAGGTGACTCCCCTTTCAGTCTGGTTCTCAGCAGGGGGGGCCCTAGCAGTGCAGCCCCCCCAAACGTCATTCTTCTGAAACACGGCTGTAGCCAATCTGCTTCGTTGCTTCACTTGCGACCGCCTGTGCGGGGGCTGCACGGCACCTGCCCCTCCAACTCGACAGGGCATCGTTCTTCAACCTGTCATGCCCAGCTGTGAGCCAGGACCACCTGCTGCCTATCTCCCTACCAAAACCTTCCGCAGCTATCTGCCTCGGTGCCACCGAACATACAGCTGTGTCCACTGTCGGGCACACTTGGCCAAGCATGATGAGCTCATCTCCAAGGTCAGTAAGCCCCCCGCTTCGTGGTGACAAACTTTGATGGCAGCTCAGTACCTAACGAGATTGCTGGCATTGTAGTGCCATGTCAGGCCCTATTAGGCCCCTTCACAGCATTACTTTGGGGGGGCTATTTTTACCAGTGCTATCGAGACACAGGGTGCGTTCAGACGGGGTGTTTCAGCCGGCATAAACTGTACCGTTTGGAACCGGTGCAGTTTATGCCGGCTGAAACGCGATCACACTTACCTCCTGTCTGCGGAGCCCATCGCTGTATGCCCGTTCACATGCAGTGGGCGTCGGCTTTTTTTTTAAAAAAAAAAAAACAACTCAGTTTGAGCATGTGCATAGGCAGCCATTCACAGAATGGCAATCTTCACGCATGTGCAAAACACCCCGTCTTACATTTAAAGTTTAAAGGTAAGGACTTACCTTTAAAGTTTAAAGACCAAACTGGCCTCCCTAAGGTCTCGGAGTCCTCCAAAACCTTAAACTAAGGATCTTTTTTTTTTTTTTTAAAACAAACACCGGGGCGAAGCTTCCGACCTAACAAAAAAAATGGTGGGCGAAAATTGGAAGCCTCGGGCTTCCAAACGGAAGTGGCTCTACAACGTTGGAGAGTGATCAGACGGGAGGTAAAGTGATTACAACCGTTGCACTCAGGATACCACCACTTGGGGACCTAGTGGTAGAATACAACGGTGTAAAGCTCTTTGCAACGGTTAGGGACGGAAGGCAGATGTTCGCCATGTGAACGCCGGTAAGTACACCGATTCCAACCGGCACCTATACCATTGCAAATGCCCCGTCTGAACGCACCCACAGTCTGGCCTTTCTCATATCAGAAATCTCTACATTTAAGCAAGATGGTTGGGTTTGGGAGGGGATTAAAGAACCTTTCAAGGGAGATGGTTATAACTCCTGTGCTTTATCTCCACAGTCTTTCCAGGGGAGTCATGGCCGCGCCTATCTTTTCAATTCTGTGTGAGTGTCCTCCTGCAATTGGTTTTCTTTTTTTGGCGGGGGGGTGCAATGTGGGAAGAAAGCAGGAATACAAGCAAGCAAGGCGAGGGAAGGATCTCTAAATGATGGTACCCTGTTCCAAAAGTGAGGCCACCCAAGTGCAATTTAAGTGTTCCTTGGGGAAGGATATATATGAGGGCATGTAGGCCACCAAACAGAGCTCTGCTTGAGCCAGCGTTTAGCATGCTGAGCTCTGGAATGAATGAAGGAATAAAATAATACGTCTGAATGCATGCAAAGGAGTAGACACAATCTGGGATTAGGGATACAGGTTTCAGAATCATAAGCAGAGCTTTTAAGCAGTCTTTGGGCCAGTTTTTAGAAATAAAGCAAATTCAGCCGAAACAAAGCATTTCTCAGATCCTGTTTCCATTCCTGAAGCCTCACTGCCATTTCCTGATATGGTCCTATTTCCTCCTCTGCCATGACATCATCCTGCTGCACTCATGACAACACTGTCAGGACATGACAAAGGAATTCCTGCCATCTTGCTTTGTGTCATCTTTGTTTTCTCTCTTGGATGCTGGTTCAACTCAGGCCTGTAGCTGCAGTGGGGGGCATCTCGGGGCTAGGCCCCCCAGTTTACTGGCAAGGCCCCACAACTTCCCATCCAGCCCCGGGGGGCCCTGAGCAGTGGTGAGTGTGGGGAAGGAGCCGGGTATTCCTGCACAGCTGCCTGGTGCAAAGGGCTGGCTATGGTGGCAGGGTGGAGCTAGACAGCCCCTCTCTATTTTCCCCAGAAAGTCCATTTAACTTTAATTAAATTACCTCTAATTCAATCAGCCGGTGCCCCCTAAGACATTTAAACGCCCCCTGACTAAAAAAACCACCCCTGGCTCCCCGGGCCTGGCCCAGCCCCTGAGAGGACGATATTCTCCTGGCTTTCTAGCATGGTCTCCTGTTAATTTGACATTTCTGGTGCTGGGAAGGGTTCTCCCCCACCCAGTGATCAGCCATAGTATCAATGCCATGCGCCTTGATTATTTCCCTTCAGCTTTAACTTCCTGCTATGCCGCCTTCTGCTCTTTTGAAGCATCATTTATTAGCTCTGCAAAATGAGGGCGGGATTAATCCTGCCTCAATGCACAGAGGATTCTTGATTGCTCCTCTGACTTACAGTGCTGTGGTTTGTACAGTACATGCACATGCAGTTTATGATGCAGGAGACATAATAGAGTGCCTCACTATATGCTGTGGCTTTGGCAGGAAAAAACATACTCCTTTCCTTTTCTTCCTGATTTCCCAGTGGCTCTTGCAAGGAGAAGGCCTACCTCCAAGTCAGTCAAACTAAGTTATAGGGTTACTGAATATAATCCAGCAAGCTGTTGTTTTGGAATGATTTTTGCCTCAGATATAGTTGCACTTTTCTCAGTGGTTGGATTTAAGGGACAGGCAACAGCAAGGATCCAATTGACAAAGTTCTGTGGGAGAAGACTACCGTTTGTGGGACATTCCTGTGAATATTTCATGTTAGTTATTGACAAATCCTTCACTTTCCATAGATAAGGTAACAGCACTTCATAAATAACATCTAACTAGGTGAACTGTTCATTTCATGTTTGTCCAGATAAGGACAAAAGCAGGCGAAGAACATGCTGAAGAACATGAGCAATAGAGGAATCATCTAAACCCATGATGCAGGGCTCTTATTCCTGCTTCTCTGAGTTTGAGGGGTGTGAAACTTCCTGTACATAGCTAAGAAAGGAATGCAGTTCTGGTGTCTTTCATCTCAGTGCAAAATCTGTTTACTAGTAGGGCCAAAGTCACTGATGGAATAGAAAGGGACCCAATCATACCAGGTCCGACCTTTTCCTCACTCCCTTTCTCCTTCAAAATGCTTTAATTTCAGGTCTCAGAGGAAAGTAGCTTTTTCCCAATGGTTGTCAGTTGGAAATCATGACAGGAGACCGTCTTTTGGTGACCCTTGACCCTAACGTTCTAGGAATACAGTTCTGCCGTCTTCTGCTTTTACCTTGTTCTCCTGCTCTCCCATGCTAAGAGGGTATCAGATGTCTGTGGTCAGGGACTGTCGTGATGACCAGAATCACCACACTTCAAAGAGATGCAGGTGTTCCTTATGATGATAAAGAAAAAAAGACCGATCTTGGTTTAAATTAGACCCAGCTAACAGGGGAGGCATTTATTTGTATCCATCTGTGACTGGCTTGGAGACTATATTTAGTTTATAGAAAACTTCACTAAAGGCATTTTCTTGCAAGCTGGTGCAAAATGAACACCTCCCATTTCAGCTGACCAAGCAGTAAACTTCAAGAAAACTTCTGTCACTGCTGCGCGGATCCTTGTTGTGGTATCTGTTATAACTGAACATGCAACACCAACTCTGCCAAGAGGAAGAGAAATAAGGGCTGGGTATGGCTGCCTGGAAATTAATGATAATTCTTCAACGCAGCATGACTGTGTTCAGCTTTCACATTCTTGGGAAGGTTCCCTGTTCTGTAGGTACTTCTCCTGGCCACTGGAGGCCACTGTGCAACTAAATTCAGCATACCTCTTCTGCTCAAAGCTCTAGCATCACATTTCTATCTGAGCATGCTGATATTTTTTAAACATGCAAATTGTCTAGGCATGACATAGTTTTTGATTGCAACACTTCAGTGTCTTAAGAAAATATCCATTCAACAGGTTTTGGCCTGGAAAATGAAATTATTAAGATAGTGTTCTGATATCAATAAACCAAAGTGTAAATTACTGTATATTACAGCTACTAAAAGGAGCTGCGGTGGCCCAAGTGGTTAACTGCAGGCTGTGGAAGGTCGGTAGTTCAGCAGTTCGAGACCCAGGGTGCCGCATGACGGAGTGAGCTCCCGTCTCTAGTTCCAGCTCCTGCCAACCTAGCAGTCTGAAAGCAAGAAATTGCAAGTAGATAAATAGGTACCACTTCGATGGGAAGGGAACAGCGTTCCGTGCGCCTCGGTGTTTAGTCATGCCGGCCACATGACCACGGCAACGTCTTCGGACAGCGCTGGCTCTTCGGCTTTGAAATGGAGATGAGCACCGCAACCCTAGAGTCGGACTCGACTGGCTTTCGAGCAAGGGAACCTTTACCTTTACCTTACAGCTACTAAAAACTTTCCATAAATTACAGTCACACACACACACACACACACACACACACACACACACACACCCTGCATCAGTAAAGTTTAATAGAGTTTCCATTTCTTTTGTAGATTTTTTTTTTGGCAGATGTCTTAGGACAGAAGACTCCCGACCAAGTTTTCTGTGATCTCTCTAGAAAGTGGAGAAGAGGGTGCAACAGTGATGAGGACAAAATGAGACTGTGCCCTGTCATTTCTTTGGCTACAGGGTTAATGTGGGCTGCGGTCCAGCTGAACAGCGTCTCTTGCTCACCGGTCTCCATTCAGTTGCCGATATTTTCTGTGAAAGCTGCAAGACTACACTGGGCTGGAAATATGTGAGTACTGGATACGGGAGCTTAACTTTGCAGATAATAACACAGCCTATTCAAAACAGGATTCTTGCAAACCTTTGGCAAGTGTAACAACAACACTACCCCAGTTGGAAGAGTAGCCTACCCACACTAACCCTGTGAGTCTGTGTGGTTTAGAGTCTCAGGTGAGGACAGGCAAGACCAAGGTTCAAATCTTCACATTGCTATGAAGCTTACTAAATTGCTTTCTCTCAAGCTAATCGACCTCACAGGGTTATTGTGAGAATAAAGGGGAGGAGAAAGACTACGTATGCCGCCCGGAGCAACTTGAAAGAAGAGTGGGAGAAGAATGTGACAGATAAACAGATTAAGGCCCTTGTCAGAACCATGGAGCATTATAGACGCCCGTCTCCAGCTGTCACACTACACCAAATGGAAATTCTGGCTCTACCCATGTTGTAATTGATTGCATTGCCAGGGTTGCCAACCACCAGGTGGGGGCTGGAGGTCTCCCACTATTACAACTGATCTCCAGGCGACAGAGGCCAGTTCCCCCGGAGAAAACGGCCGCTCTGGAAGGGGGCATCGATACCCTGTTGAAGCCCCTCCCCTCCCCCAAAGCCCACCCTTCTCAGGCTCCACCCCCCCAAATCTCCAGGTCTCTCCGAACCGGCAGAGCGGGCCACACCCTGTGCACTGCTTCGCCTATAGTCATCATGGGGTGGGGGCAGTTCTGCATTTGGACGTGGGTGCGGGAGGAGGGAGGGGCCAATGGGTGGCCCAAGCAAGAGGGCTGATATCTACCCATTTCCTCATTTGCCAGGAACAAGCCTTCGAGACCAGCCAGAAGTACAAGGAAGGGAAATACATTATTGAGATGTCACACATGGTGAAGGACAACGGCTGGGACTGAGAGGGACTCTGGGTGACCCCTTCCCCTGCGGCATGCCTCGCTTCCCTAACCCCACTGCCACCGCTGACACCTGGCACAACTAGCCCTGCCCCCCTGTCCATGCCCCTAGGCTCCTGCACAGCATCACCCATGGGAGTGGACGTACCAGGACCCTTCTCCCAAACCTCCTGCACCTTCTGAAATTCTGGATTCACAGTCTGGAGGATCTCCCCACAGTAAGAAGGGAGTGACATAGAGTCAAGGGACCCAATTTGGGGATTTTCTATTGATCCCATGTGACCTATATGTGGTATGCGGCTCTCATTACGAGCACCTGTTGGGTGGGACAGATGGTGGAAGGAGGCACACTTGAGCTTTGCTGTATCTGGAGCAGGGCAGGAAGAGCTGTGGGCACAGGGCAGACTCTCGGGGAGTGGCCATAGCTCCGTGGAAGAGCAGAGGCGTTGCATGCAGAAGGTCCCTGGCTCAGCCTTCGGTATCTGAGGTAGGACTAGGACAGACCTCTGCCCAAAGCTCTGCTGGAGCCGCTGCCAGGCAGAGGGGGACACGGCTGGGCCAGGCTGACCAATGAGCCTCAGGCAGCTTCATGTGTCCAGGCACTCCTCTCCTATCGGGGGTAGTGGGGTGGGGGTGGCTGTATTGTCGAGGGGAAACGTATGTCAGTCTAGCAGTGCTGGGCAGAAGAGGGCGGAAGGGGAGAAGATCCCTTCCAATGGGGACAAGCTTTAGGTAGAGGACCCACGAGCAGTTCCTCCCAGCACGGGACCCTGGTCGTTCACATTCCCCTTCACCGTTCCCTTTCCCAGACCCTGCCGTGGTACTTTCCCCCGTGGCTACACAGTGGAGTCTGTGGGGTTTTGATTTTTTTGGGGGGGGGAGGCGTTGTTGTGTGCTTCTGATCCCCAGGCGCTATCATCCCCCCCCCCGTGCCCCCCTGCCCTACATGGAAAAGGGTGGGGGTTTGTTGTGGGAACAGCCTCAGCACTGTCACCAGTGCAGGATTTTTTTTGTATAATAAAGATGTTTTATATTTAAAAGGGACCATACCCACCCTAGCAGCCTCTGTCATCCTTGCCTATTCACCAGAAATAGGGATCGTTTGGTGTATTTCAACAGCAGGGGCTTGTTTCAAATAAGTGCAGAATACTAAGGTAGCAGATGATCTCCTTAACTTAGTACCTGCTATAGAATTCTTAAACAGACAACACCACCATCTGAATGAGCATCTAGAAACCAAATATATAATAAAATGCAAGCCAACAAGTTACTCTGTATTTGCAACTGCAAAACAGAACTGTGTACACAATATCACTATAGTCCAGTAAAAGTGTGATCTAAACCAGCAAAGTCCTTCTAAGTCTACTGACTTCACTGGACTTAGAAGGGTGTAACTCTGCTTAATATGGAACTGTAAATTGCTCACATGCCTGTCCATATGCCAGGAATTTATCAGATTTTTTTGGCTTCTAGAATGAGATAAAAAACTTCTTTCCCCACAAGCTGTACTATTTATCAGCAAACAACCCAGTCAAAAAGACCAAGAAAGTAAATTTGACATATGAATGATCTAAATCTAGAAACGGATGTTGAATATCTCCATGTGTAATATGGGATGGATACACACTTCTTCACTTGTTACAGAGGCTACTGAGAGGAAAGCATCATAATTGTAGACTAACATGTGCATCCCTTTTACTTTACATCACAGGGCCCCATGACTTCCTCCTCTCCCCCTGGTCTCTGCCAATAAATGGTGACATGGAGATTTCATGCAGCTGTGGCCACCCACCCAATGCCCTTTCGACATGGCACTGCTTGGGCTGGGCCCTGCCAGTAGCACAATGTGGCAAGAGCCTCGGACAGGAGCCATGCCCAGTGTATCAGAAGACGGTTTGCTTTCTCCGCCTTTCTCCGCTGAAACCGGATAATCACTTCCTTTCTGCTTTTAGGATCACCCAGGCAACTGGGGTTTATTTAAGTGTATCAGTGTCTTGTCTTTAGAGAACTGTATGTGGAAAACTGTCCAACCTAATTCAACTCATTTGCTTTAGTCTTTATCCAGTGGAGCATTTGAGGTTTCTGAAAGATTGCTTCGAATTCCACCTAGAGAGAGAGAAAAAGAAATAAAGAGAGGCAGGATAACTTCTCCACTGAACTGCTGTTTATTACCATGTTCACTAAGTCTCCCTCTAGATGGAAGGTTTTCCCCTGGGGCTGATCTAGAACATCCCTGTTCTACTTGCTAAAACCTTCCCACACTCACATCAATCAGCTTGAACACCAGTTCACAGGGAGGGCTTCTCCTTCCTTCCGCTACTGAACAGGCAGCTGCATCCAGAAAGCTGGGCTCAACTCGTCTTTCATCACACACACTCTCTCTGACAAATCCGTGGGCCCATATCAAGATGGGATGCAACATCAGCCACTAACAAGACTCCTGTGTTCATGTGGTTTCTTGGCTTAAGTTCAAGGTTGTACCCCTCATCTCTCAAACAGCAGTTCTGGCTGTCTGACCTACCTGTAGAAATACAGAGGAATCTGAGATGGTTATCTAAACTGACGCTGGGAAGACTGAGGCGATGTTGTGGGAGCGACTTACACTTTACGCTCAAGTCATCAGGCCAGCAGTGCAGCTAAGAATAGAAACCAGGTTCCCTGACTCTATGTATGTGAGCTATCAATTAAGCCTCAGCACGCTCAATATGAGGTCGTCCATTTCCCTTTGTAGACCGTTCCTAGATTCAACCTTCATGCCTCCTAGTAGCCAGGGCACTGCATTTCTCCACGGATCAATGCTCTTTGCCAACCAAGTACATCCCAGTATAGTGGCATATATGTTGGGGTTCTGATGTGCACATCATTCACCACACAGGCTCCAAATGTATGCATATTTGATTGATCTTAATAATGCATACATGTTGCCAGATTTAGATTACCATGGTGCAGAATTCTTGGCATTTTTAAAGTGCTGCATTGCCTGTTTGACTAGGGTTCCACAAACTTTATGGGCTCTTGATCCCATAGGTTTCACTACAGACTCCACAAATATCATCATGGAACTCCATCAGGAAACTTGGCAGGAATTGTTTTGTCACAGCAGATAAATGCTACATTATTGAAAGCTGTGCTGACATTCAGAGCAAAGACATCCTTTGCCCCCCCCCCCCCAAGCTCAGTAATAAGGGACATGAAGGCAAACCACAGTACAGGTGCAGGAATCTGATTTTCCATGGCAATTAGTAGAGTGAGATGAAGCAGAGATCTTGCACCTCGCTGCCTTAACCAGGAATCCTTGTCTCCATCACAAAACAAGATCTTGCTGTTAGATTCAAAACATTCTCATATTTTGTCGCTGGCTTATCGATTGGCTGAGTCGTCCTATTGTACTTGTGCTCTACCTGGAGTCCCCGTGAGAAAGGGAGGCTGTGAATGAAAATAAATAACCCTGAGGCCAAAGACTCCCACAGAACCAAAACTTTGCTATACGGTACCTTTGCCTCAGTAGAGAGCTGAAGCCCCCCAGCAAACATTAATGTAGATATACCATTTGGCAAAAGAAGAAAGTGCTACCCTAAATCAGTTGGGTGATTGGGCTGGGGGTAGTGCCACAGTAGAGAGAGAAAAAGGACCTCTTGAATGGCAAGGACTCTGGCCAATGGCGCAACAGGCTGCCCTCATCTCTCACCAGTAGGTCATTCACCTAACAGTGGTGCTGAACCTTGAGACCAAATCGTATTTGGGAAAGGACAACAATCTTCTAAAGCAAAAGAAAGAAACAGCTTTTCTGGGGGAGTCTGAAGTGAAAAAAGGAGAGTAGAAGTGAGCGGCAAGAACAGTGTAATCAAATCCCTCTTCTCTCACACAGCGTTCTCTTTCAGTATAAGAAGGGGAACAACCCCTGCTGATAACAGCCTCTGCACACGTCTCCTAGAAGGCCTGTTCCACTGCTGGATCCAGATTTTCTGTTGCTATAAATCTCTGGTTTTGTTGGTTGCACAAATTCAATGATTAACAATAGAGAGGAACAGAACTGACAGCATGTAGTCATGTTTCTTTTATAATGCAGCTTATTAGACTGCTCTTTTTACTCAACTGATTTTACTATTAAAGTGTGTCTAGCCATGGCACCTCTCTAAGGAAAAACTTACATTGCATAGATAGTGGCAAATCTATTTTTTCCCTAAGCAGTCCACGTCTATGTTTAAACAGTTTCATCGTTTTAAAACTCCATGAATAGACAAAGGATAAAATGAAGCAGAAATGATCAACCAGTTCCTGGAAGCCATAAATATAATATTAATTGTGGAAAGAACTACCCAAGCTTCATATAAAGTCCATGAAAATTTGCAAAACCAGGAATGTGCATCTGGATGTATGTTTACATTCCCCTCCAGGGAATGGAAAGAGAAATATACATGCCTTTGGTGATCACCACTTCTTAAATCAACTCAAGTGAGTTCATAAGCATGCTTTACAATAATTTGATAAGGTGCTTTAAAACTTCAGGGATTTTAAGCATAAAATGCGCAACAATATGACTGATCATTGTGAATGCAACACATGTGAATGCAACATTGTGTATATGCAGCAAGGATGAAAACATTTTCCACTGTGCCCTTTCATGAAGAATGCAGATATCCCCATTCCACTAGACAGACAGACAGACAGACAGACAGACAGGGTGGTCTTATTTCTCTGTGAATGCCAACTGCCCGTCTGCAGGATGGTAGCTGACTGCTAACAAGGGGTGTGTGTGCTTCAGTCAATGACACCATTCTCACACAGCCCTGTTCAGTCAACTACTCATCCTTCAATGGGGCAGTGACGATGGTCCACAACTGTGGGAAGGGAGCTTTATTGGGGAAGTGTGGCATTAAGTTGCCATTCTGCCTCTTACCCGTGTACCCTCAGGACTTCTCACTTCTGGGCTTCGTTTTTTGGGGGTAAGTTTTATGTGGACCAGGCCTTGCCAATGGGGGTGTCCCATCTCCTGTGCACCCTTTGAAAAAGGTCAGCTCCATGCTGGAATGGGCGGTCAGGGCACGTTCTGGGCTGTGTTGCCCAGCACTCTACCGGTACGGTTTTCTCTTTCTGGGCCCTGCAGGGTCATATCAGTGTGGCAAGCTCATGCAGCTGTTTCATGGCACATGTGGTGACCACTGGTGAGTTGGGGGTGCTGCTGACTGAGGACAAGACTGAAGGGCCAGCAACCAGGCTGGCATACCTGGGAGCTGAATTAGACACAGAGGCCCAGCTGTCCTGGCTCCCACCTCGAGAGAGCTTGTTTGCAACATTAAGAAGGCCAGGAAAGTCACTACGTGAGCGACAGTCTTTAGGAGGGCATTTTCATTTTGCATGCAAGGATCACTGCACCTGGCAGCACTTTTTCCTGTCCCATCTGCCAGGCTACGTCTGGTATGCAGGCTCCCTGGCCCAGATTATGAGTAGCCAGCGCCAGGAGGCGGGATCTTAAGCATGTGGGGCTGCTTTCTTGCAGACTACAGTGGGGTGTCCTTCTGGAGGGAGAAGCTTCTGCTTGAGGCAGAGCTCCAGGGGCAATGGGATGTGGCAGAGGGGCCCTCAGGGTTAGTGTCTACTTTCGGGGCCGGTAGTGTGCAGAATGATGGCCAAATGACTGGATCCTTAGAGACCTGACTTCCTTGGAGTTCTTCCCTAGTGTACTGGCAGTCCACCTCTGGCCAAAGGCCCTAAGGAACCGTTCAGTGGGGTTCTGGTGTGACAACATAGTGGTGGTCCAAGTTGTTAATACACTGTCTTCTAAATCCTCCAGGGTCATGTTCCTGGTCTGGTCCTTTGTCCTCCGATGCTTGAAGTTTAGCATCCTTTTTATAATATGCCATGTCCCCGGGATGAATAACAGGATCGCTGATATACGGTCTCGTTCACAGATGGAGTGCCTCTGCCTCCTTGCCCCTCTAGCATGAGAATCATCAGCTGTGGAGCCTTGGAGGGGTGGGGCTTGGCAGGCCACAGACGGCTCGCTGGCCCTTCATGTACCAGGCATAATTAGGCCAGGGCCTTTGC